TATATATATATATATATATATATATATATATATATATATATATATTCACATTTCTTCTTTATCTTGTATACTTTGTATTCAATTCTAGTTCTCACGTTATTTTTGAAATTTTCCCGTTTTGGTTTAGTAATTTCTTTTATTCCTCTCCTTCAATTAATAATCTTTTTTGATCTCATATAACTTTTTTTTATATATAATTCTAATTTCTCTTTTCTTCTGCCAGTATTTATGGCTACATCTTCAACATTCCTTTTCAAAACTAACCTAAACACTTCCATCTCGTCAGGCAGGCCACCATAGGTATCTGTATACTGTGGCATTGAAGAACACTTAATTAATTTTGTCTTTCTCACTTGAACTTTTTTGTTGTTCATTGAGATTTTTTTTTTCCTGATCTGTGTTGTTTTTGGTGCTTTTCCATGGAATATCTCCAACTAAATGTTTACATCAGTACACCAACAGGAAGAATTAGAAGCTGCATAAACCAATCATTGCTTGTATTATTTGACGTCTTGAATTATAACCTAATGAATTGTAAGTTAATTATATATAAAGATGCCAGACATCTTTAAAGAAGGTTGCAGACATCATAAGTTGATGATTATATTTTGTTAATATAGTGTTTTATTTGTTTCATAGTAAAACCTTTGTATTAGTTTATTTTCTTTTGGTTTAGTTTGAATAAAATAACTGCAGATTGTAACTGTCATTTTACAAACCATGTGAGTGTTTGGGGGGGGGGGGATTTGAACTTTTCTGTTATTCATTGTGTTTTTTCTTCCTGACCTGTGTTGTCCTTGGTGCTTTTCCATAGAATATTCCTAGAAATGTTTACATCAGCATGCCAACAGGAAGTATTAAAAGATGCATAAACCAGTCAGTGCTTGTATTAGTTGGTCTCTTGAATGGTAACATAATTACTTCATCTGGTATATGTACATACATGTGTCTGTGAATATCAGTATTTTTATCAGACATTTTGATAAGTTGTATGCTTGTAAGCTATGTACAAAAGATTTATATTCAAGTGCTTTTCTAGAAATAAACTAAAAATGGGTTATTTTTTGACAGTTCTAAACTATTCTGTACAAATACAGAAAAACTTTTCAAAAACAATAAAAACAAGATAGTGGGGATAGCAATTGCATCATCTCTACATAATAGCACAGGCACACAGTGTAGTAGAATGTTAACAAAAATTAGGATAAATTAAACTCAGTTGTGATTGAACAGTGGTATATATTGCTATATGTTAATTCTTGTCTTTGCTATTATGTAGGGATGAAGCAAATGCCATCTCTACTATCTTTGCATTAATTTTGAAGGATTAATATTAGCCATCCCTATATTTACTTCCTTTTTTGAAAAGTTTTTTCTTGACTTGTTTTTTTAATGCAGTGTTTCAATAGACGTAGGAAGGTTTTATTTATAACGAAGTTCAAAATACAATGAGGTTTCAACTTTAATATTTATTGTTTATCTGTTATTGGCGGGTAATTCCTGTTTCACCCTGTACATAAAATTGTTAAAGAAACACCAAATTTCTGTAAGAAAGCTAACTTCAAGGGGTAATGATAACATCTTTTATGCTAGAATTATGATTTTAAAAACATTACTACTAGTTAATAATCCTTATAAAAGTGGATACTCCATTTGTAACTATGTCACCTCAGTGAAATTGGGTGACACCATTGTTTTGGTTTTTGAGTTATCATGTACTAAAGAAGAAGCGGAAAAAAGGAGAACAAGAAATTCAAACTTTTTGATATGATATTTATAGACATTACCAGAACTTGTGACTCAGTCATTACATACATATTGTTATAAAAGGAAACACCGTATAGTATTGTAAAGTTCTGATGACCTGTTGAGAAGATATTTAAAATGCCATTTCGATGAACGATCTGAGTCATTTATACGTAGGCAGTGCTACAGTCTACCTGATATTCAAGTGCTAGTTAGTCATGACTTAGTGTTAGTGTTAGTGTTGGACTTGTTGCTACTATATTAACAGGTACTTCTTCCAAGTACAAAAATAGTTCTGGTCAGTACTCCCTTCAGCACTGTTAATGAAAAACAGCTGTCTCATATATTTTATTCTGTATTAATTGTTATTACTTTTAGCAATTATTTATATGCACACATCTTAGTTTGAAATAGTATTTTGGCAAAAACAAAATCAGCTTAATATAGAACTTCAAAAATGCTTGTAACTATTTGACAATTTTTTATACTAAGCACTGCACAAAAAATGACAGTTTTGCCAGTTAACCTCCCCCCATCCACTTTAAAAAAGAAAGGATTGAGAGAAAAGCTGTAATTAAGGAAAATGGATTAAATATAACTTTAAGTTGTACTGTGAGTTTGGAATTTATTATTTTTATTGATTTACTAAAAGGTATCTAAAGTTGTGATAACCCAATCTTTCATTTTTTTTATCATTGTAATTTTGCTCCAAATTATACAGCAGCCTGAATTTTTTGTTTTTCTTATATTAATCCCTTTTTTAATAGTATTTCAATTTTGTAGCACTTTTATTATTAATTTTATGGTTCCACATTATTTTGAGAATTTAAAAACGTAAATAAATAGTTGAATTTATAAGTTTTTCAAATATAAAGTTTTTTATGTTTTTGTTTATCAGTATATTTATTTATGTTAGCATAACTGAAATTTGAAAAATAAATTTATCTGGTGTCATCTTTATTATTGAGATGTGAAATTTCCATCTTCTGTAATATTTTCAGTGTAAGCCAGGTTTCCCGAACATGGAGGACTTTAGCGACACAACCATTTCTGGTGAGTAATATATATATATAGCCTCAATCTGTTAAATACAGTTATTCATATGTGTTTATTGTTTTTGTGGTTTGATTTTATCTTGCATAAAATAAATAACTATAAATGCAATATTAGGTCAAACTTGTTTATATTAAATAAAATTTATAATTATATTTACGCATATAAAAAATTGTAATAAAATATTTAAATACACTTAATTTTTTATCTTATCATGTGCCTGATTTTATCTGTCATTTCAAAATAAGCTAGTGTGTTTGAATTTCAAACAGAACAATTAGTTTTTGTAATTTCTGAACATTTCCCAAAAAATCAGAAAG